AAAGCGATTTGAATTTGTATAAGACCATTTGTAAGTTGAAGCAAAAATTTGCGATTGCGATTGCGATACTTGCGATTATGTTTTAACTAAGCCTAGTTAAAACATAATCGCAAGTATCGCAATGTGCCCATTGGTTTCTTAAAGAGAAGCATGGTTCATACATAGAGATATTTACACAAAATATTCTAAAACGCAATTCTTAATTACAGTTAAAAAGAAAATTTATAACAACAACAAATGAATTGTAGCATTGTATGGCATGCATTTACTAAATAACAGTGAACTGTAAGCCAGCGCTTACAGTATTCCAAAGTTTCGCAACGGATAGCACTTAATTCAATTCAAGATCTCAAACTGTGTGATTCATCCAATTTCACGATAAGTGATGGTGACTTTAACTCTTGAACTTGCACATGAGGCTTAATATTACTCGTACATTAATTGTGAAGTACAGTCAACAGAGAAGTTCAACCAAATTGGCTAAGACTGCCTTAGTTGAAATTGCGGAGACAGTTCAATTTCAGTAGAAATATCCTTACTAATATTAAAAATGCGAAAGTTTGTGTGTATGGATAGATGTTTGTTACTCTTTCACGCAAATACTACTGAAAGAATTTTAATGAAACTTCACAATAATATAGCTTATACCTTAGAATAACAAATATTTATATACAGATTTTTATGTATATCTCTCTTTCTGCCCAAATGTTACGCCTTCATCCTAATCTACGCAGACGAAGTCGCGGGCAGCAGCTAGTGTGCTAATATTTTGTGCAAGATTGTTCCATATCGGATAGATAAGGATAGTAAAAGTGTTAATTTCAGACATGTTATTTCGCTGCTGGCCTCAAAATTGGTTTCCTTACAATGATGAATATCGTCAAGGCAGACTCCAAGCAATTAAATTATTGTTACCTAACGAATTGTCATTTGTGTATAAGATATGGGTGAAACATTTTAATTACTCGTTAACTGTACCGGAAATAATTCATACTTTACTAAACGTTATTTTTCAAAAAAAATTTTTATGAAATATAGCATGCGAGCAGGTAGGCAGTTCTTCTGACGTTGTGTGATTACTTAATGCCCGTGACCCACACTTGCAACCCATGGCCCCATGACCCGTCTACAGCATTGGGTTGCAGATGCGTTTGTTAACTAATGAAAAATTGGCCCCGGCTACCATACTCACTTGACGAAACACGTATATATTATAGACGCTACACGGCCGTCTTTCTGTGCAGCCATGGTACTTCGCCAGAAGAGCCTGCCCATTCGTACAACAGCAGAATCTGCTGCGTAGCCTTACCACAGTCGGGAATATTTTTTACAGTATCCAGACTGAAAATATTTAAAAGCTTTGTAATATTGGAAATATTGAAACGCTAATGTAACATATGTTTAGAAACAAACAATAGTAAGCCTTAACAGGCTTACTATTGTTTGTTGTTTAAACAAATCTATATCTTTAACGTACTCTGTCACTTGGGGATAACTTACAATATCATATGTTATCTTGGATTCATGTTAACATGTAAAAATTTCCCGTCGATATTTTGGGTAAAAAGTTTTCGCCTTGTGAGACAAAATTCTAAACTATTGTGACATTCAAACTAAATAATTGGGGGACAGTAACTGACGGTAGATCCGACGCTCTGCTATATGGCCGAAACTGCATCTGTGTTCAGCCGACATTAATCCGTTGGTAGGAATTGAATCAAATTTAGGCCGTAACTGGATCGAAGCTGACGCTAACATGTGGTGCTCCATTAAATAGTTTATAACTGTGATCAACTGAATATTAGCTTTAGTAACATCTCGTTGGCCTTGCCTTTTGTTAATAATACTTTTTTGTAATATTCGCCAATTAATAGGCATTGGCCTACTTTAATCACTTAACTCCAACGTTCGTAATGGAGGTGTTATTCAATAATGTGTTTCACTGTGTGATTGAATTAATTGTGAATTTGTGATGATTGTGATTTCCTATCTTTTCTTTTCTTTCCTATCCTATTTTATGTATTCGGGCACAAATAAAGCATATGTATATTCCAGTACTTTTTGTGGTGTAATGTATATAAGGATTAATTTTAATATCTTACAACTTCATAGAACAAAAGAAAAGAACCTTAGTTTACTTGTTCGATGCGTAGTAATTTTTTTACCGGAAATTATAACAGCCCATTTAGTTGTATTGTGTCTGGTTTAGTAAAACTTGTTTACCATCTTTTCTCTGAGATTTTATTTACATATTAATAGGAATATAATACATTATATGTATTTATAACCTGACTTAAACTTCGGGCTTGTGCAAAATCGTGCATAAGCCTTGGCGTTTGTTCTTGTAATGCAATTGCAGAGGAACTTCCAAGTCAATAGCTGTAGTTTGACGAGTTGTGAAACAGCCTGGTGAATAGCCCTAATGCATTATAGAACTTCAGACCAATTTCCAACTTTAGCTGAATGCACCAAAGCTCTGACAAGTAAGGAAACTACTGAAATTTATATTATATATATATATATATATATATAGACATTTGACGATAAACATGATTGTTTTTATGTACATTGCTAACCTTATATGTACTTGTATAATATATAGTCTGTGTGCAGTGAAAAGTCTTTTTAATTCCTACTGAAAATGACCCAGAAAAAAGTGTGTGGCTTGGTAGCCACACATAATAAACAGATAGGAAACGGTAAACAGTTTTGTCAGTTAAAAAATGTTTTGTCTTAATATTATATTTAATAACGCGTCAAAATAACCACCGAGTAACCATGGAAAGAAATGTCGTGATGATAATATCTATTAGTAGTTTGTAATCTAAGGATGTAAAGATAATTTTGAACCGAAACACCTATTTGAGTCATTGAACATGGTTAAAGTAAAATAGAATTGTTAGTAAAATAGAATTGAACTCTCACTAAGTACAATACACATAAAAATAAGATTATTCAAATTTGAATACATATTTTGTAGCCTGTTAATAATCTAAAGCTTGTTAGCTAAGCAAGTTAGAATATACGAAACTTCACCTTGAGTATTAGCATATCTTATTATGAATATTGATTTTCACTTAGCCTAATTATAATCCTTGCGGTGTTATTATAAAAGCGAGGAGTGGCAATCGAGCCTCGAGTAGTCTCAGCAAGTCTCGGCGCTCCACGCAGAGGTCGGTTATGTGAAGTTAAAGGCTGGAGTAGTTCATTTATTGATTTTCTCCAGTTCTTTAATTGTAGCCACCTTCTTATCCGATTCATTACTTTAGTAAGTCTTAGTAAGATCCATTATTCATTTCGTTGTTTTATAAAATGAGGAAAAGCCAAAAATTTATTGACTTTGTACACCGTCGACAAACTATTCAAGCAATTAGAAACTCTTCTATCAAGTTTCTAATCAATAAACAGTTGCACGGTGCAAGTTTCAAGCGGAACACGCCAACCGAACGCTACTGACCGTTTTCTTACGGACTCTTTAATTTGTATTCATACCTCTCTTTCCCTAAGTGTCATTATATTTTTTCTTCGTCTACCTGCACGAGCCATATCTCAAATGATTACCTTTTCATGTCTTATCTCATATGAATTACTATTAATAATGTTAATAGGCTTATCAAGCTTGAATCATTGTTCAGCAAGAACAATTTGCTTTTTTTTTTGTTTAGAAATCAATATAGCATTAATACGGTCTTATTCTCATACTAATTCAAATTAAGAATTCGTTAAGATCATTATCATCAAACTATTACAGTTCCCTATTCGAGGCCTCTACTGTGGAAGCCAATTAGCGAGATGTTCAGTGCATGAACTATCTACCTAAAAAAGGATCGAAACATCGCATCACAAGGAACTGGCTGATACAAATCATTGTCATTTTTAGCCAGGAGTACTTTTCTATACTCTAGCTACGCCACTCACTGGCCTCCCTTTAATATATCAAAGTAATCCTTATCGTTAATTATAAACTGAAACTAATTTATACTTTAAATTTTCTCAGATCATAATGACACCACCAGGATGGGACGGACACATGTCAGCACACGGTGCCGGGAACGAGACTGTAGTGGACAAAGTACTACCCGAAATGCTACACTTAATAGACCCGCATTGGTAAAACTTATTTACACATATAAATATAATTCTTTTATTCGTGTAAATTGGCATCCATACTATTATATTCTATCTATCAAAGTTTTTTAAGGATAATCAATATTTTTAGTTTAACGGTGCCAAAATGTTTGCATACGGTAAATGAGGAAATTAAACTACTTATTGGCAAATGTATAAAATATCTGCTCCATGTCATCAAATTCCAAACCCCATTTATATTATGTTGCTTTTACACGCACTATTTGAGTGTGTCCTATAGAATACCGAGACTTCGGTGCTAGTCTCAGTTCAACGAAGTTGTGAAAACAATAACCCAACTTCATCGAACAAGGGTGGAATATAAACCATCGCATCGTACTCAAACTTTCCTCTGTCTGCAAAGTTCATAAATATCCCCCAGGTGGAGTTAAATACGTTTTAAGTATTATGATATGCTTCTATAATAAGGGTTAATAGTTATATTTAGCAAGCACTCAATAAACATTTATAATATATTATTAATACAGATTCGATTTGTCTCTTTGGATGCGGTTGCAAGAGTCGACAAATTCTATTATCTAATATCGATTTAAAAGCCATGGATCATAGGTTTTTTTATGTCAATAGTTAGCAAGCGAGCAGGCAGTTTACTTCATAACTTAGTATTTAGCCCGCACGTGGGCATCTACGTCACCTTACGGATTACAGACACTTAAACAACGATTTAAAAATTAGGCCTTTTGGTTTAAATAAAAGTATGTGTTTTGTTGAGTTAGGTCCATCAGTTATACTCTCGGGAATTTGGGTGTGACAATCTAAAAGAATTGAAAAGTACGTAACAGTTTTTTCAAATTTAGATTACCCAAATAAACTTTGACCCGTTTCACTTTCTGAGGTATCAATTCCCGCCAATGAATCCACTGTGGCACGGCCTTTTGGGCTTCACTATTGGCGTTCTCGGGTTCATTTCCATGGCCGGCAATGGCATGGTCATCTATATCTTCACAGCCACTAAGGTTTGTTCCGTTCCTTCATATTATATATCATTTTTTTCCGAGTAAATCGTATTTACAGCCGCTAAACTTTTCGCCGAAGTAACTTTTCAAGCCAATGATAATTTACAGAGTCTCAAGACCCCGTCGAATTTGCTCGTTGTGAATCTCGCCTTCTCCGATTTCTTCATGATGGCCGCCATGTCCCCGGCTATGGTTATAAATAGCTATAACGAGACTTGGGTTTTGGGTAAGGGCTTTTCTACATACAGTACTGAGTATAGAATTAACTTAGACTAGAAAATATTAAGTTAATTACCTTATAATAAGCTGCTTAATATTAATTGAATAGTTTAAATTCACTACTATCTTTCGGATTTATACTTATTTTGGCGCGTTTGGAAAAAATTATGACAGGTAAATTTTTACGACGCCCGTACACTAACAGTCAAAAAGCGACATGATGAAGTTGGTACAAAGCGATCAACTACACGGTATTACTATGGATACCACTAATAACTTTTTGACTTATACTATAATTCCTAGTTATTCCATTAAGCCTATATTATGCATTAATTATTGCGTTTTGCGTTACCCGTTATGCTCACTTTCATTTAATGGCTTTTTCACAAAAAAAGAGTACTGGCACGGGTAATAAAATTTTTGGTTAAGCTAAAGAAGTATAACTTCTCGTACATAAGTACGTTTTCTTAATATGTTTCATAGTAGTTTAATATATTTTTTATGTTTGTAAAATGTTGCGTTTTTTAATAAGCATTTGCAATTGTTGTTATTGACATGTCGCAGGGCCTTTGGCTTGCGAGTTGTATGGTTGCGCCGGCTCACTGTTTGGATGCGTGTCCATCTGGACAATGACGATGATTGCTTTCGATCGCTACAACGTCATCGTGAACGGGATCGCCGCTAAGCCGATGACGAAGAGCGGGGCTCTGCTGCGCATCCTTGGCATTTGGATCGCTTCTTTGGCTTGGACAATCGCGCCCTTCTTCGGATGGAACAGGTATATTTTGTAAAGAAATAAAGCAACAGCACAAGTACAAAAGTAAAGTACATTTCCCATTAAAAATTAAAACTTGTAGAAAAAGTACGAAAAGTTTGTCCCCGCTGTGGAAATCGAACCCACGTCTTCGGCATTCGCGGCCTGACGCTTTAGTCACTAAGCTAGGCTGATTGCCACACCGACGAAAATCTTAACGTGTTTTATCTACATTGTTTTTTTAGCATTTGAAACAATGCGTGTCGCATCTGTTGTTATATCCATTCCAGCATACAAACAATTTCGAATACCGTTTTACAACGATAACTCGAACGAGAGATGTCACCATTGCTCTTTAGAAATTGGAAAGTTTAATCTTAAGTGCAGAGATTAGCACTATAAAAAACTTAAAATTATATTTCCCATTGCTGGACAAATGCGGAGGATGCCTTAACAAAATACAGAGGCTATAAACGTTTCCTCACCATGTTTTCACCACTGTATACATGATAAGTCAGCACTTAAAATTAACAATTGAATTGGTGCCGGCACCGGGATTTGAACTCAGGTTTCTCGAGTATATTGAATTAAAGCGAGGACCCGGACACTGAGCTAGTCAAAAAATGTATTGTCAACCAATAAGACGCTTTTCATCAATCTTATTATGTCCAAAACGTAATAGATATGTATCAGAAGCTTTGTCAATAAAAGAAATGCCTTTACCTAGCTTTTTCATTCTAAATCTGAAAATTTTAATTTTTCCATTAGAATCCTAAGTAAGATACGGTTTTTACGCCAATCGGTTTTGAAACATTAACACTATTTTGAGTATAGTGCATTTATTGAGTTTCTGCATTTTTGACCTACTACTTTAGATCCACTTCAGGTGGCAAGTATCGGCTCTGCTATGTCTTAAAAACATTCTGGTTGAGATAATATTTCACAATTAGGGGTGATTAATGACAAAAAACAAAAGTTAATAAAGAAATGGATAAATTTAATTTTAGATACGTTCCCGAAGGAAATATGACTGCATGTGGCACTGACTATCTGACAAAGGATTGGTTAAGCAGGAGTTATATTCTTGTTTACGCATTCTTCGTCTACTTCGCTCCGTTGCTGTTAATCATCTATTCTTACTACTTTATCGTAAAGGTAACTGAAAAACTACGCTTTTTGTCTTATGCGAATGATCGTCTCATTCGAATTAAGTTTATATGAGTCAACACTAAGATGCTTCTTTATTTTGAAGAGAAATAATAGCAATATTTTGTAATCTCTTTCAAGCATTCAGACATTAGGAGCATCAACAGTTATTTATTAATAACCAAAACTCAGTAAGGTTTTAGTGCACATATTAATAATAAGATTATTTCCAGGCGGTAACTGTACACGAAAAGAACATGAGGGAACAAGCCAAGAAGATGAACGTCGCTTCTCTTAGATCTTCAGAGGCCGCGAATACTAGTGCTGAATGTAAATTGGCCAAGGTAAAATGAACAATCACCATTTTATTTTTTACTATCACGTGTTACAAATGCTAGTTTATACAAGTTTGTGTCACAAATTTTATACATATGCCACAAATTAATCACTACATCCATTTCAACAAAGATATATTAATAAACTCCGGTGTACATAAGCGCTTACTACATAAAATTACTTTTGAACCCATTTTAGGTGGCGCTGATGACCATTTCATTGTGGTTCATGGCGTGGACACCATATTTGGTCATCAACTTCACGGGAGTTTTTGAGAGCGCCCCAATCACTCCTCTCGCCACAATATGGGGCTCCCTGTTTGCGAAAGCTAATGCCGTCTACAACCCCATTGTATACGGTATTAGGTAAGGTTTCATCATTAAATATTGAGTACATCAGAAATATTGGTTCACATTCATCGTATCAGGTTACTTGATTTTTGGTAACTGATATAATTAGTATCTCAGAATATTACTCTTACATTTTTTACGCCAAAAAAATCCTTTCATTTATGACAAAAACAAATTTTATTTTAATTTACTAAAACCAAACTTTAACACTGACTTTGGCCTACTAAACTTTGAACCTGTTCTAAGAATTGGCAAGAGACTAGAAATCAAAAATTACTACTTTTTAGCAGTTTCTTTAGTTTTTAAAAAAGTAGCCATGTGGTGATACGTCCGTTCATCATCGTCATCATCATCATTCGCCGCAGGACGTCCTCTGTTGAACATAGGCCTCACTCTTAGAACGCCTCAACGAAGGACACTTTGCCATTTGCATCCACCGGTTGCCCGCGACTCTTATGATGTCGTCGGTCCACATACAGGGAGGTCTTCCAATGCTAAGTCTTGTGGTTCATGGTCGCCACTCGAGAACCTTTAGTACCTATCGGTAATCGGTTCTTTGAGCGATGTAGCCTGCCCATCACCATTGAAAATATATTAGAAGTAAATTTTATCAACAAACACGAGGAATAATGTCTGCATATTTATGATTGATTACAAATCCACGAATGTTTTCCAGTCATCCGAGATATCGTGCGGCCCTCTACAAGAAGTTCCCTTCTCTTTCTTGTGAGCCTTCTCCAGACGATGTGACCTCTACAGCATCTAGTGCCACTGCTATATCTGATGAGAAGCCATCTGCTTGAATTTGGCAAACTGCTCCATGAAAACTGCTATTATTACTTTATTTATTACTTCGTTAAGAGACTACTCCTATGGATTCCGATGACATTGGCTTTGCATTTGGACTTAAAATATATTACAATTGAAAGCATATGGTTCGAGACCAAAAAGAAATGTTTTATTTTCAACCCATTTTATTAAATCAGTTCAGCGCCCGGAAAAATGTACAAAGAGCGATAAGTGGTTATGGTTGTGTTTTTGCACCGATTGACAATGCTTGAAGTGATTTAAAAATATCTATAGAAATCATATTTTCCCTTCTATATGAGACTTCGGCTTCGGGGTCACGGGTACCATTTCTATAGGGGATAAGTATTTTTGACCTTCAAACTTTCGACCTTCAAATTGTTCCGGATTGGGTGTTTGTTCCCAAGGTGAGTTGACATCGTGTAGGCAACCGGTCATTAAAAAACTAACCAATACCTTTTAATTACTTTACTTACCAATTTTACGGCTTTTAAGTCTCGGCTGTTGCACGAATGGGCAGGCCCGTCCGGGTAAGTACCACGACCTCACAGAAGACTGGCGTAAAGTGAAAGTATGACAAATACTTTCGCGTTTCATCTGGTGAGTGAGGTAGCCGGAGCCCAATTTTCAAAAGGTTGTCAACACCTCTGTAACCCTCGGGTGTGGCAGATGTCCATGGGCGGCGGTATTCACTTAACATCAGGTGAACCGTCTGCTCGTTTGACAACTTTTCGCATAAAAAAAAACCTTCTTACAGCATGATTGACAAGTTACGCTATAGATATCTATGACTCCGTGGTGCAGTGGCCAAAGTATTGGCTTCGGCGTCGGAGGTCGTGGGTTCGATTCCCGCACGGGATAACTATTTGTGTGACCCACAGATAGTTGTTTCGCATCTGGGTGTTTGTCCCCTTGAAATTTATATTTTTAAAACGTCCTTTTACAACACAGGATAAAGTTATCCTAAAGTAAGGGCAATGTTTTTAAATAAAATAAGAAAATAAGAATAAGATATAATATAATAAATCGATATTTCGAGGCATATTTAAACACAGCATTATTTATCTCAGACTTAAAAAAAAACTTTTACTATTGTGGCTAGGTACACAATTTTCTTTTGTATACATATAAATATGTATTAAAGAATAAACTAGTTGACCCATGCAATACTTTTGCAAAGTACTGTGGTCAGTCAACGAATGGTTCACTTCACTTTCCTTCATTTAAACAAATTGTCAATGAATAGAATTATCATAAAATCTTATTAAGAAATTTTTGAAAGACAACTTGCCATTGCCGGTTGACAATACATGTCCGAGTAATGGGAATATGGCCCCCGAGACTAGCAATAACAAGGGCTTTCAGCCCATGTCTCAGAAGTCTACAGACTACTAAAGACACTAAATGAATAATCTCAACCCGTTGTTACGACCACGTAACAACGGGTTGAGATATATACGTACACAATACAGCAGTAAGCTGTCACTTAAATTTCGTCCACGGCCGTCATTAAACTTAAGAAATGATGTAAAAATTCAGTAACGAAATAAAAATTCAAGTCTGTCCGTGATTCTTTCCTCAAGGAAGCTTCCACATTAACGTGGGCTTTAGCGTCTGTAAATTAAAAGGCTCTTTAAAATGGTCCGCTCAACACTCACTAGAGCAAAATGTGAATGCTTTGTGATTAAAGCATTAAAAATCCGTTAAAGCCTCGCTTCCTAGAATAGATGTTGAAATTTTTGTAGGAACGGTGCTCTCTAACCTTCAGCGTGTAATCACTTAACATCAGATGGACCACCAGCTCACTTGCGACCTTCACACATAAAAGAAAAAAGAACTTGGTTCCTTATTAGTATCAATTTTTTTGTGTTCATACATCTACTTTCTTAACCTACCTTTACGATTATATAGAAAAAAATAATCCACAGAAAATGTTAGGACCACCAGGTTTCATAAGGTTGCTTTTTTTTTTGAACGTTTCACAGAAACAAATGTAATATTTTACTTACGAAAATTGTCTAACACTAATGTTCAAAAAATAAATAAATCCATTAAACTTTGTAATTTTAATAGAAATTTTCTTAGTAACAAGGATTTTCTAATTTATATTAAATGGATCGTTATTTGAGATTGCTCGTGCGTCAATAATTTAAGGTAAACTGATCCGTTTGCCAAATCTCATTCGAAATTCCGTTGAAACCAAAATCTGGAACTAAATTAAAGCTTATATAAACGTTAACACCACAGACCTTGTTGGTATAGCGGGAACCTTTTAGTTAACAATCACTACGTCATTCATTAAAGTCGACTGGGTCACTTCCGACCTCTGTTTGATTCCATAGGTCGCTCGGTTCGAATAAAGTTCTCTTTGAATTAACTGGCGGAAACAAAGTAGATTTCCTGTTCTGTTGTGAATATGATTGAGAAATTTCTATGCAGGATGAAATTATCTTGGGTTGTGAATCTACATGAACACATTCACATAACAGCAAATATGGAGAATTTGCAGTTAAACTCCGAAAGACTCTGACATGAAGCTTTATTAATAAGTATTGCACACGAAACCATCGTTCGTGTGTCAGTCAGTAAGTTCACATCCCAATTAATGTGTGGTTATTACAGCAAAAAGGATCATTTCATTAAAATATCGGCTTATAAATGGAAAGCAAATGGGTCCGAGCAAACATATTACGGCGAGGAAATTGCTGTGAACAAACATAATCTTCAAACGTTACCAAGTCAATAATTGATTAAGCGATTAACATCACTTGAATATATGATATGAAAGGTTTAATGATTACATGATTAATTATGGATGGGAGTCACAGTCCGTTATTCGGTTAGTTGCTAGGAAACTGACACTGACTTCGATGTGGGTTCTATTCCCGCCACAAAATCGTTGAGGTATAATTCACATTTTCAAAAAGCTTTTTGAGTTAGATCATAACGAGCATTGTATACGACAAAACTACAAAACTGTATGGAAAAGGCGGTAATCCGATTAAATAATATTTATTTCCTTCATATTTATCTTTATTCCATTGGAAATTCGGATTTATAAGCCTGTTGGCCGGTGAAACAAAATGTCTAGTTTTTCTAACTTTACTTTGTTTTTTTTTATCAAATAGTACATTTTTTTACAATGTATCACAGATATATCTAATAGATATATCCACGAAACTGTGCTGGTGCAATACAATTATTTTTTAACGCTTTATAGTTTGTAAGCTTGTAGTATTTAACATCTTTTCTGATATTTCGAGCATTTTATCAACATTTTCTTAAATTACCTCTTAGTAAAAGTAACATCGCGATGGTTCACGCGTATTATGTATAACATGCATATTATTAAGTCTTATATATAACATCTGTGTATATTTTCTTTCCATGCAGGGTTTCATTTTATTGATTTACAGTTTTGACCGTATTTTTTTAGCAATTCATGCTAAATGCAAGCATATTAAATGCTTTTTAAATACAATTGCAATTGGATTAAACATTAAAGGTTTCATATTAGGTGATGCATCATGTTAAGATTATTAATTTACTTCCTTTTTTCACACAGCAGCCCCTGCTGTTGCACGAATGGGCAGGCTCGTCCGGGGAAGTACCGCGGCTTGACAGAAAGTCGGTGTGAATTGGAGGTCATTACACTTTCGCGTTTCGTCTGGTGAGTGAGGTAACCGGGGCCCACCTTTTTAAAGCTTATCAACGCATCTGCAAACCCTCAGGTGCTATAGATGCCTATGTGCACCGGTGTCCATTTAAAATCAGGCAGACCGCCTGATCGCTTGACAACTTACAAAAAAAAAGAATTTGCCTTATGTAATGAGAAAAATCAGATATACAAAGTAAATATTTTTGTTAACGTATGAAATTTACACAATCCAAATTTTATAATAATATTTAAAGATTCGCTTATGAAATCACTTATTTACTTAATTTACTAAATTTTATTCGATTTCTATTGTCTTTAGTCTAAAAAGATATAATTTTATAAATTTTAAATTTTTAAAGTGCTAATCTCTGCACTTAAAAATATGTAAAACGATTTGTATAACACAATTACAATAAAAATGTGTAAAACGATATTCGAAATTGTTTGTATGCTGGAAAGGATATAACAATAGATGCGCCAAGCATTGCTTCAAATGCTAAATAACAATGTAGAAAGAAGGCGTTAAGATTTTCGTCGGTGTAGCAATGAGCCGTTTAGCTCAGTGGTTAGAGCGTCAGGCCGCGAATGCCGAAGACGTGGGTTCGATTCCCACAGCGGCGACATTAGTGTCCTACTTTTTCTACATATTATAATGTTATATTTTTAAAACATGTAAACTCCGACCTATACAGCAGGAGAGCAATAATTACTGATATTTTTAAAACGTACTAAAATTCCGTATCGTATTAAAAGTGAATCACTCATTCAAAAACCACTGTAAGTTATAAAACGGACCTTACTGCGTTTCTTTAATCGATTGTTCGTTACATTTGCATCGAAATCCCGAATATTTGAGTAATTTCCGGTACAGCGGATCGGATTCGTATGCTTGGCGTACTTATTAGAGTTAGGATTCCATCTCAGATTCTTGCAGTTAGACAATGCAGATGTAAGAATGTACGGCATCCGAGATACTAAGCTAAATGAGCCAATGGATCTGCTCAGTCTGCACAATTGTGAGTTTTAGACTCGAGTAACTTGATGCATTAGTGGTCTGACTTTAGCTTCCACATACTTTTCTCTGTAATATTATAGATACGCTTTTTACTAAATGCATATGTGTATATACCAAAATATTTTTTTTCTGTTTGTTCCGGCTTATCCCTGAAACGGCTGGACCAATTTTGTCATGTCTCTCGTCTAGCAGATAGATGATGTAATAAGGAGTAACTGACGCTACTGTATGTTTAGAAATTATTTATTATTATATTTTATTTATTTTAAATTTCACACGGACAAAGTCGCGGGTACAGTTAGTATTACATAGTGATCACC